TTATACCATCCTTGGATTTCTTTCTTCCCTGAACAATTCTGATTCTTTGGACTGTTGGAGGAAACTGGAGCACCTGGAGGAAACCCACACAGACACAGGGAGAATGTGTAAACTCCATACAGTCACCCAAGGTTCAAACTGAACTCACGTCCCTGGCGCTGTGAGGCAGCAGTGCTAACCAGAGCCACCATGCCACACCAAATATGGTCTCTTTCAAAAAAGTTTCCAAATGTTCTCTCATTTTATAGAATCATTGCATAATTTAACTTAACTTGCGTAATCTAAAACATAAAAACATTGGTTAAAAGTACTCTGCAACAAATTACATTTGCTGCACCCAGGGAAACCTCTATACAAACCAGGTTGATCCACCTGGTATTCTCCCTAACTTGAAGTGATGAGGCCACTGTTCCGTTCAGTTGAAGTTCAAGAAAACTGTTTGGTTTCTTGTACTAAAGACGGAATATGTAACAGCACCTACCTTCAAATCTGAGATGCATGCACAAAAGAAATTAGCAGCTAAGAAACATATAAACTGAGGAGCAGTGAATAGGATTTTCTAAAACAGTCTTTTATACGAGTTTCGGTTAACTTATAAGATTTTCGGACACAACATAATCTTTATTTCTGTGTGCAACTGACACCAGATCACAACTTACATCGAATGTTTTGGAAACACAAATTAAAGTCCCCTGTACTGTCAACTTTTGTTTTTCTTGAATCTTGTTCACTTCTACTTTTGCTTACCAGCTTATGTTAGACTCATTCCTTTTTGTTGCACCACTGAGATTTTCAAATACAAGAAAATGAAGAAAAGCAACAATTTTTTTTTTTCTTTATTTCACAGCATTCAGCATAATAGCTCAATCTAATCATTTTCCAAAATCTCAACAATTTCATACTGTTTTCTCTTCTAATATTACTGTCTGAATATGAAAATAACTATATTTTCAAAAACAAGCTCCTGACTTCCAACCTGAAAATAGAATGCCTGTTATTTGCATACGTTTGGATATTGGCCTTCCTGTAATTTTACAACTCCCACAGCAATCCATTAATGTGAAGCTCCATCTTTGACGTTTGTTGTCCATTCACAGGAGGTTCTTCCTGGAAAATCAAACTTGTGCAATTAACGAAAACACTGCCCAGCAGGCACAGTAAAACACCAAATCTTGATCTCTTCACTGTCCTGATTTGAAGTTTTTATATCTTAGCTCCAAAAACATCCCAAATATCTCCCAGCCACTCTCCCTTTTAAACATACACTTTCATTCCTCTCTCTTCAACAAAGAGTTAACTTGTCCCCATCTGCCATACAGATCAGGTTCAAAATCTAGATACAAATTCTTTAATTTTATTGTCATCCAGTGTCAGATAACATAATAATGCAACAATAAGATGTAATTGACTTAATGATTTGTTTCAAAAAAAAGCCCCAATGCACTTCATAGATGTCAGGATACACAATGCAATACCAGGAAAGAAGAGAAAGGGTGGAAGAGAGATAAGTAGAAATGCGAGTATGGAAATAACACGCAATACCAAATCAAGGTAAACAAAGATGTAGTAACAGACAATACAATTTAGTTTGGGAAAGAACAAATGGAGAGTTTGGCAAAAATTGAAAATTTAAGGAATGTAGAAGATTGGTGATGAGCTTTAGAGTAAGAAGGTCTGAACATTGGGCTTCAGTCGCAGATTGACTTTCGTGTGACAGTGCATAAATGATATGGAGAAAGAGAATGTAGAGTTTAAAAGCTTCAAATGGTCTCATTCACCTGAAGAAGGCAAGGACCAAAGACAATAACTTTTATTTTCTCAATATTGACTTGAAAATTCAGTCAATTCAGATGCTTTCAGATTGTTTACCGCATTTTGCCAACCTATGGACTCAAAGGGATAATGTTGAACATGATCAGCTTGGATGCAAGCTGATCTCATGCCAATAGCTGACATCACCAGGAGGCAGTGTGAAGATGAGCAAGTGGAAACGGCAGGTGGTGGATCCTTAGAGATTTCTGGATGTGGCTCTAGAGAAAAGACAACAAATTCCTGTTTGAATTGTCAAGCCTTGCATCAATGGCGTATGTACAGAACACCAGCATTTGAATGTTTGGAAATTGACTGATCAAGGAGTTGAGCAAGGAAGGGGGAAGGGAATAAAGAGATCGATCTCAGGGATAAGAACTTTACTGGGAAATAGAGAATGAACCACAGATACATAAATTCTAGAGTGGCTGGAAAATTAGTGGAGGTGTACAGGGATTAAAAACAAACAAACATTCAGGAAAAATGTACAAATGATAGGGTGGAAAGAGGGGGCACAGATTGAGCTGCCAGCTAGTCAACAATGAAATGCAGATTGACCTTGCATTTCAGAATGATTCTATAATAGATGGCTCAGCTAGGGATAGTGAAGCCTGGTTATGTTAGATGCTGCAATTGGTTTGGTCAGATGCATGCCAAGTTTGCTCCTGATTGAGGAGGGGTGGGAATTAGTGATTATATTACAGGGAACTAAGTCATCAAAAACAAATATTGAGGTGGTGATTAAATTGACAGTGGAGCAACTGCTGCAGTGCGGTTGGTAACATGTTTGAAAAGAAAACTGTGACAAGTACTTGAGGACTGAAATGACTGAAGTTGTCACTAGGTGCAAAGATTAAGGGAGGAAAGACAACTCTGAGTAAAAATATGAAGCTTTTAAATGAAAAGCACAAAATCCAGAAGAGAACGCTGAAACAAAGTGAAGAGGCTGAAGCCATAACTTAAAAGACGAAGACCTTGCCATTTATATAGCTGTTTGAACAAGGCAAGAAGCAAAACGCATTGCTAAGTAGTGTGGCTTTTTTTAAAAAACAGGGGGGAATGAATGCTACCAATGTGTCATTTTTTATGCCAGGGCTAACATCAATACAATCATCCATAGTGAGGCTGAATTGACTCTTGCTCATGATTAATCCAACATTCTGAAGAGAAATACTGAGAATTGAAACAATCATTAATGAGCCAGTAGACGTAATGGCAAGTGTGAATACAATATTGGAACATAAGAAAAGAACAAAGTGGAGGTTGGACAAATTAGTCTCAGAGGAGAAGACTGGGCGCAATGGTCAGTGAGAGCAGAGAATCAGGCAGTTGAGTTTGCTGCTCTGTAGTATCAAAAAAGATGCAAAACATGTGAGGAAAACTAATTGTTACACTAGTCAAACTTGGGATTAAATTCATCTGTACTTGTTAAAGCTAGGGAAGAAAACATAACTATTACATAAAAAAAAAGTAATTAGATAAACATGCCACAATATTACAAGATAGAACAAGTCCAGAAAACTGAATCAGCTAACTTAACATTAATATCTATTCAAAGATCAAATAGAAAAAGAGCAGAAACCAAAAGCAAAAGAACTGTAAGCATAAATTTCTAAAAGGAATGGCAGAGACGAGCCTTGTGAATTATTTGAAAAAGTAATGATATTGTACTAGTTGGGATATTTGGATTTTCAAAGGTCTTCAGTAAGATGGCAGACACATGACTAAGATCAGGCCAAGCAAAGTCAGAAGACAAACAGCAGTGGGCAATATGGTAGATAAGTTAAAATGTTATATTAATTAATCATTAATGATCGATCCACAGGTAAAGAATATAAAAGTATTACTTGCTTTAGGTTTGGTGATTAGAAAACAGCAAAAACTCTCGGCAAAATAGTTGGAGAAAACATTTGAAAGTGGATGTAGTCTCTGGTGAGATACCTATACTGCTCAGTAAACACTTCTATGAAACAATCATAAATGAAACCGGACATGGAGGACAATAAGTCACTTATTTTTGAGAAATCAATTGATTTGTGAGTTACTCAGTTGGACATTACATTCACTGAATAAAAGCTGGTGTTTCTCGCTCTGACAACGAGCTCTCCATAGACATAAACTAGACCACAACCAGTATTTTGGACATACATTGAATGTGGGAGAAACCTCAAAACCTCTCAGAACTGTTTTACTTGGAATTGATGGTTTCAGAGATGCCAAAGAAATCAGGAGCATTTTATCATTGGCTTCATAACCTCCAGGTCAATGAGGTGCAGCTTATCCTTTACTTCAGTATAAACACATACCATCTTCAGAAACTAATTGGTGTGCAGTTGGTTATCATGCAATTGGAATTTGTCAGCCGAGCAATAATGGCACAGGTGACAAAAATGAGAACACAAAGCAAAATGCCTTAAAGCTGTGAAAAAAATTTGCCTACTTTCCTGTCGGCAGTTAAAAATCCCACTAAAAGATGCCGGTGACTTAATGAGGAAATTGTGAAACTAATAAAACTATGGATAACCGTCTCAAAAGAAGGGATTGGTCATTTTAGACAAAAACAAAAAGACTTTTCACTCAAAGTGCCATAACTCTTAGGAATTCTCTATCCCTATGGCTGCAAAATAGTCCACCAGAGATTGATGAATTCTTGGATACTGCAGGAACCGAAAGATACAGGATAGGATGGGAAGGGAAGATAGCGGATCTTTCACCTTGACCCTATGAATTTATTAATAGGCAAAGACTTTACACAAAAGTCAAAACTAAAGTTATTTGAAAAAGGCCTTGAGGCATGCAGAGTGCATCCCTACCACTGGGCCAGAAGGTCCACATTCAAATATCTCATCAAACTTTCATGGCCATGGAAGATGTATCATAACACTGACAAACAAGTTGATTATCAATTTGGAAAGGCTTCCAATATGCCTATGGTAGGAGCTAAGAGCAGGAGTACCTGCTTTTCAAACCAACTACGGTTACCAGCGCAGGATATACGGGAAGTAGGAACAGCATCCAACTGTAAAACCAGTTGCCAAATCCAAAAAGTGGCAGTTGACTCTAAGATAGTCAGTCAGAATTGTGACAAACCTGCAAAACATGGGAAAAGCTGAAAAAAAAAACTGGAGAGAGAACATATGTTAATCTTGAATCAACTGGCTAGTAATTATATTCAAGGAATAGACATGAGATAGGAGCAGAAATAAAGAATTTTATTTTATTGAAAGTGCAATACGTGTCATTATAAAAAAACATTCTAAGTGACTAAAAGTCTCCAATGCTCTATCCTTCACCATTTGACAATCCAAAATTGACATTACTCTATTTTTTTCTTGTAACTGTCAACTTTGAAAACATGCTATCAAGTTTTACATTTGGCCAGCAATAGATAATATGTTTTCAAAAGCGGCTAACATTGTATACCATTAGATGGTCAAGGTTGAAGGTCTTCAATATTTTAATCTTCTTTACAGGAATTGTCAAAATATTTAGCAATTAGCAAATTCTGTACAGATCTTTCTTCTTTTACAAACAGATGATCAAACTCGAAGTCAGTCAAACTGTATAAGTTTTGTTTTGAAACAGGTGAAATCATATCATCCTTTTAAATGATACAGATGACTTATGTGGATATTTTTCAATCAACCTGCTCTGATATGATATGACACATCACTGGGGCAGGTAGATTTGAAACCCAGGCCACCTGACCAAGTGGTTAGGACACTAACAGTGCACCATTAAAAACCTTTAGAATGCAAGGTTCTGAGATGAGACTTTTTCAGACCATTATGGCCATAGGCAGATTACTTTGTGAAGTTGCGCTTTACTAAAATATGTACAACTTGACATCATCCAAGATAACTAACATTAGAAAAGTTTTTTAAAAGCAATCTTTACAACAGTTAAATCAATTTTTATACAACTTCACATATTAATATATATGATGTTTATACAACTGACAATGGGCAACTGATGATAGTTTGCTCCAAATTAATTTTTCCATGCTTTAAATCAATCAAGATCTTTTTATGGAAGAGGGCAAGTCTACACTGCTACTTCAACTGACATCATGGTAACTTGGGTCACGAGTGAATAGGTTCTCCCTCAGTGGTTTTGCAAGTGGGAAGAAATCCATCTGACTGCCATGTTCTCATGTTAAAAAAAATAGGACTCAACTGCCTTCTACAATTCCTTCTAAAAGGAAGCACATTTTCTAATTATCTGTCCCATTTGTCATTCCATAGAACAAGCAAACTGTTCAAAGCAAAAACAGAAAAGATCAAAATCCGATGAAATGATGTTCAGAATTTCTATGCAATACCAAGTTTTAGAGATGTTAAATTTAGGCCATTTTTGGCACATTGTTAATTGGTCTCTTCAATTTTTGCATTCCATGATGCTGCCAAATTTCTTGACAACCGATTTAAAATGTGCACAATATGGCTAAAAAAATGCAAGTCGTCATATGAACATTCTAAAATGGCCAAAATGAATAATAGCATTGTATACTGACAATAGATAAATGCAATTTTTCACTTTTATGGGAACATTAGATCTTTTGCTTATAGAAAGTAAAATACTTTAACTTCTAAATTATTCACAACCTCAGTTTTAACTACAGAAATCAAGCATCTATTTAACCCATTTTCCATTGAACCTCTTGCAAAACCTATAATACTTATATTTTTAATACAAAAATGGTGACCATGTTCTTATGAGTGGACATCAGTGAAACTCTGCAAAACCTGAAAGGAGAGAAAAGGAAAAAAACAAAAACATTAATTAAAATGAAATCAGCACAGGAAGCATTTAAAAAAAGACAAATTAAAACAAAAATAATGTTAAAACTAAGATGTATATGAGTGAAAGTACTTAATTTACACAATGTTTCTTGAAGGAAGCAACTCACAAAAATACATGTTCAAAAGTGAAAAACACCACTAACAGCAAATAGCCACAACTACTTTCCCTACTTTTGGTAAAATAAATCTGTTCTATGCTGTCAGCGTGACCACATTAATAAACAAACAGAAACCGCTACCTTCAGCTATCATTCCTAACTTCAAGGTTCATTTTAAATAAATTTAGTAACCAACTATAAATGGAAGAGAAAAAAATTGCAAGTTCTAAATGGTTCCAATGTTAAGCAATTTAATTACATTGATACCCCACATTAATAATAAGTACTAAAATAATTAACTTTCTATGAAACTCTGCCAACTACCAAATTCATATTTCCCTCCTTTTCCAAACTCTAGGCACCAAGCAACCTCTTTGAAGAAATCATGCAAGATCTCCAGCCTCAAAATCATGCTTGTCTTGTGATTAGCCAATATGTGGTTTGCAACATTGTAACTGTGGTTGAAACAAATTTATTGGTATCCCAACACATGCAGAATGTGATATTTTGCCATCTAAAAATATCAAAAAACAAGATTCATCAGAAAGTCCTATGCAAACCAGAATCCACATATTGCTGCATAATTGAACTTGCCACCACAATGGTTAATTTGGCTTTCTTAAACTGTGTTCAGCCTTAACATCCCAACCAAATACATCTTACCATATTAAGATTGATTTCTATCTAAAAAGCTAACATTAGTCCAGAGAGATCCAAGGCCATTCAGAACACCACTGGTTGAAATTTAAAATTTCATTAAAATTAAAATCACAGGTGTGGTTTAGCAGGGGAACGTTTCAGGCAGTAATACACGACTGGAAGGTCATACAGAATGTAGAACTTTCTCAATGGTCTACTGGCAAAATAACTATCCAAGGCAACAACAATCCACACAGGCCTAAGGTCTGAGATTCAACTTCTGATCTATGCTTCAAATTGATGTCCAGTATACTAGCAATAACAATACAGTATTTTAAATGAGAAGCTGGAAAAGTCAAGCACACATTTGTGAAGTTGCCAGAGAAAAATATCATCTAAAAGCCTAGCCTTTTACTTAGTGTCTTCTCTATTACCGTTCATCATGTAAGGCTCATCTCCCACTTCTGGGCATTCCAAAGGCAGACTTCAGCTTCTTTTAGACTAAGGACACTGATCATTACATCGCTGCCTTCATTCCTTTGATCAACTACTGCAGAAAAATAAATGGATGAATTATGACACTTAGTAGCATCTCCTAAAAATGCAGCAACATCTTTTAAAGTAGTCTTCAATTTACTCCACTTTCTGCTTTATAAGCAGCCCTGTAAAACTTACAAATATCATTCCCAAAAGCTAACCACATTAACAACAGAGTTTTGAATTTGCATCCAAGCAGGTTCTGACAATATTCTAGTCATCAGTTTTATAGTTAAATAAAAAGAATTACACTTGTAAGTGCAAAGACCACTACGCTTGAGGAAAGAAGTGAAATTATCTTCTAATATCAGGGAAACGCATAAAATGTATGTCATACATAAGTATAAACATCCCAACCAAATACAACTGACATCAAATTAGGATTGTACCTTTCATCAAAAAAGCTAACTCCCGAGAGATTCAAGGTTATTCAGAATGCCACTGGTAGCACTTTAAAATTGCATTAAAATTAAGTTCACAGGTGCGATTTTAACAGAGGAACATTTCATGCAATATTAGGTGAATTGAAATTCAGATAGAACAACAAACTTCCTCAATGGTCAACCAGTAAAATAACTACCCAAAGCAACAATAATCCAGGATTGGATGCTACAAATGTACAAATGCTACATGATAGCAGCAGCTCAGCAGGAGTGAGAAACAGGGACACAGAAAGAGGTGCTGGCCTCTGACATGCTCTCACTGTTAAAAGGGAGTGAGTGCCCACCAGTCCAGGGTGGTCTGGACCTGGGCCTGGACCTGGCCCTGCAACATGTCCACGGAGGACCCCTTCTTCATGGTGAAAGGAATCGCCATCAAGAGGAAACATCCTCTCAGCATCCATCGGCAGTGACAAGTAGGTCCAGTAGATCGCATTTGCGGCAGCAGTGGAGGTACTTTTGGGATTCCTGGCAGCCTCTGGTGAAGTGGCCCTGCCGCCGACGTGGAGACGGGTTTGGGTTCCCAGTGGTGTCTGCGTCCAGTCCAGATTCATGGATGCAGTGGAGGCAAGTTTGGGCCCAGTACGAGAACCGGCGACATCAGTAGCAGTTGCATTAGTGAAGTGGACGTGAAATGGACTCATGACAGCTGCAGAGCCAATTTTGGGCCGGTACGGTACACAGAGGCATCAGTGGTATCTGCATTGGCAAGACCTATAGAAGACTCAGTGGTGAGGACTTTGAGAGGAGAAGAGTTGACACTGAAGAGTGGTGACTTTTGTTCCAGTGGCAGCCACGTGGCAAAGGGGACTTGTATCTGGCCACTAGGCCCATGGCCCATGGCCCAGCACTTAAGAAGGACTATAAAATTGAACACTATTTATTTCTTCATTTTTTGCCCTTATATTCTATGTTAGAACATAGAACAGTACAGCACAGTACAGGCCCTTCGGCCCACGATGTTGTGCTGACCTATTATCCTACTAAGAACAATCTATGTTTTGGATTATTTTTCTGTGTTTTAGGATGGTGCCAGAAAGTGGCAACAGTATGCAACTTTTTCCACTGTATTTTGTTCTAACATACACTTAACAATAACTAAATAAATCAATAATTAGTTTAAAATGTATCACTTAAGTATTTTAGGGCATCCTGGAGATGTGAGAAGTGCTAAATAATTTGCAAATTATTTTGTCATGATGAACCTTAATGGGAAAAACGCAAGGAAAGAGAAGTTTATTTAGGACATCCTACTGACAGGCACTGTGCAAAAATGCAGCTGGATGAGATACAAAGAGAACTGCTGGCATCCGAATAGGCTTCATTAACAAACAGCAGCTGATCAAAATAAGCACAACAGAGAACAATAGAAAACACTGAAATTTGAGAGGGAAACAAGGAGGAAACGAAACAAAAAACACCTTCATCTCCATTGGTTTTATTCTTGTTCAAAATTCCTCAAAACTTCGAAATTATTTCATTACCATTCTGCCACATTTTAGTGAACACTGCAAACACAAAAGCAGCACTGATTTTGTATTGGCCGTGTATCATCAATACCACTGTCTGATGCAGTAACTACCACATGAGCAGGAATTGTACTACGGCACTGCCCAGCAATGAAGCAGCAGTGACGATGCCTGTGACAAAGATGGCACTACCAAATGTCACCACAATGTGATTATACACACTGGACAGAAAGAAAGCACCTAATGCTTCCGAGGAATCTTGGGCAAATGAACTACCACTTACTCCAATAGTGTGAAAACTGAAACAATTCTCAAAATAATTGAAGCAACGAGCTGCCTTTGCTCTGAAGCTTGCTGCAGTAGGATGCACTCTGTGCAGGGTAATAAAGTGCTGTTCCCCCATGGGGATAATTAGTGCATAATTTCAAGGGTTAAATGCCATTCCCACTGTGCACAGATGGGTGATCAGCATACAATTGGCAGCCTACAATTCTGGGCCTCAGTTTTGAGACCAAACACACTTCATTCCACAGCTGTTTGTTAGCAGCTTGTGGTCAGGTGGCCAGCAGCAGAAATTCAAGACTGGTTAAGAGCTACAATCTAGCATGCTGGTTGAAACTCTGACCGCTAGTTGAAACTGCTGTGACCTGTAGTTTCCTGTATTCAAATAAGGCAAGTGTCATACGTCTAAGCATACTAACACCAGATTACCTTGTATGGAGTATGGAATGTCGCAGTTTATGTCTCCCAAATGTTTACCAGTAAACTCCATTGGCTGGAATCGAACAATGTGATCAGGCTTTGATCAATTCATTGTCTGAATGCCAGAGATCTTTCTGGAAATGGAACACATTTTCAGATAAGTTAAAAGAACAAAGAAATTTTCTGAGAAGAAGCCTCCAAGACACATTTGAAAAGCACATGCCTTGTAGGCACTTTCAGCGAGAACAAAGAATCAGGAGGCAAGATCTATACGGAGAACAAAGTTAGTCACTTCTCTCAAATCAGGGTAGCATTTAATTCAAGCCAAACTTAGAGTTGAAGTAAGAGTTAGGGTTAAATGTGAATTAAGTTAAGCTAAGGTAAAGTGAAGTTAAATGAAGAGTTAAAGCTTAAGTTAAGTTAGACGAAATAAGAAGTAAATGCTGCAATAAATGTATGCTTCATATTGAATATTGGTACTTGAGAGTTAAAGAATAAATAATTTGAGTTAAAAAGTTGCTGAGTTTCCATCAGTCACACCTATTTAAGCAAGGCAACAAAAACGTAAAATTACAGTTCCCAAGTCAGTTCTTGATATATCCTTTTTGTGTTGAACATTACGGCAACTGCAAAATAATTCATGCAACAACTTCTTTGTCCATATCAAGCATTTTACAAAAGCAGCATTGATCTTTCTGAAATTAAATATTGTAAAATAAGATCAACGGAAGACACTGAAATATGTTTTAATTTTAGCTTCTGATACGTACCGCAAGTCAATTCTCACATCTGGATTTCTAGTGAAAAAGTAATCACTTCATCACTTTTCATAAGACATTTAAATTATTTGAAGATGTTCTTTACCCATTGCTAAAATTAAACAAAAAGCTGAAGGTTTTGCTGTGCACTTATCAGGATGACAATACAAGAAATCAAACCTAGAAATGAAGCATCAATTTATATAACATGAGAAGAGAGTGCTGATTAGTTAGACTACGGTTGGCATGGAGATGCAACAGGAACTGGTAAATGTCAAGCTTAGCTGATCACGTGGGAACACCGCCCACCACGTACATGACAGATACTCATGTGACTCAACCAATGTTGTCTGCCTCATATGCTGCAGATGAGGATGTCCCAAGGCATGGTACATCGGCGAGACCATGCAGCCAGAATGCGCCAGACAGGAATGCTCCCTCCCACTGGGGAGCACTTCAGCAGTCAAGGACATTCAGTTTCCAATCTCTGGGTAAGCATCCTCCAAGGTGACCTTCGAGATATACAACAACACAGAATCGCCAATCAAACTGATAGGCAAGTTCCATACCCATGAAGACGGCCTCAACCGTGATCTTGGGTTCATATTGTGCTCAGGTAACACCACCATACTCTTCTGTATTTGTAGAATCTTCCTTACTGTCTTGTTTTAACACCAGCACCTTGATAACTTGTTATGATCTCTCTACCTTAATTACTTTGTACAGTTTTGGATTATGTGTTACTTTTGTTAGGCCCTCGGCATTCGGCTCTTAGACCTATCGTGTTATTCCAGCCTTTTGATTTGTCTCTAGCACCACCTTATTTTTAACATTTTGTAGTTATCTCTCTGCCTCAGTTAATTGGATTATAGGTCATCCCCTTCACTTACTATTCAGCTGTTGACACTTTACTCACGCAGTCTGATACTTTTGATCACCTGCAGAGACTTATTATTCAACACTTCACTCACACCATTTGTGTGATCTTTTGATCTCTCTGCTTATAAATTCTGTGCCTGTATGCTTTTCTTCACTTCACCTAATGAACGGGCAGCACTCCAAAAGCTTGTGATTTCAAATAAATCTGTTGGACTATAACCTGGTGTCGTGTGACTTTTGACCGTAGCTGATTAAGCTCAAGACCAGGCATAGAGTGACTAGTCAGGTGTTTGTCTTTTCTTTAAAAACTGGACCACACAGATTAATTCATGCTTTCTTTCAAAGCCCAAAGCCAATACTTTGAATTATAGTTGTGCTGAAAAGATACGTCTATTTAAATGGTTACCGAAGTTGAGAGGGAAACATCAGAAACCCATTCCCAAATATCATTTACTTATCAATAGCTGCAACCACATCACAAGCAGGATTCTGACTTCAAATATTCACATAGGAAGCTTTAATTTCAAAAGCTGGTAAAGGCTTGACCATTGCAATGCCTTTAAGTTCGATAAATAGTTTAAAATTCAACATCAGATACTTGCACTAATCACTACATAGTCTAGAGCAGAATATTTGCTGTTTAAAAGCAAGAGAAGTACACAACTATCTTTGCAAGAATCACTCAATAATGCTTACTTAACACATCATATTTCTAGCATGTAAATTGGAGCCAAAGCACTGATAAAGATAGAAGATGGTCACAAAAAACAAGACATCAAATAGGAGAACCTTTTTAAAGTCACACTTCTTTTAAACCACCTGCGAAAGATTTTAACAAAGGACAAGCCTAGGCTCAACAGATAGAAACTAACTACATATTCACAACATATGTTAAGCCTTGCTGCTTGCAGAAATGGATATGGCTGAATTAAGCACATGCAAAAACTAGTCCCCCAATGAATAGCTTTGTAGAGCAGTGTAACACTGTACTAACAGAACATCAGCTGCTGTAATTAAAATCAATGAACACAGCAGATTTTCATAGAATGGAGAACCAAATCACAGCTTATAATACATTTGACCAATCATAAGGAAACAAATTCTCTAAAACTAACCACCTGCTACTTTTCTTTGAGCAAACCAGTTTTGACAAGGTTTTGGTTTTAATTGTTTTAAAGTGAAGACTGCACCATATATTCTGTTTTCATTTAATCCACTTTATTAGCTATGTTTGTGCTAAAAATACCTAGGAAATTATGAGCAAATTAGTCATAAATATCAATGCAAACTAAGCAGGGCATTCTTTTTTAAAACAATACCAGCCTAACATATAAACAATCCTAATGCAACAAAACAGGTTATTTTTACTATTATACGTAACCTAGTTAAAGAAAAAAAAAAGACTTAATTATACACATACCCATAAGAAAATCTGATTAAACTAAGTAACCTGCATGTTTCCTTAAAACTGAATTCACAAGTCAATAGGATCTGGCATTCTAATCTAATTTTGAAATATGAGAATAGTACATGGACACAAAGATCACCAACGTAGGAAGTGGTTTCTGCCTGACAATAACATCAAATTTGTGCAATGCAATTTGAATGTCAAAAACCGAACAGATTCTGAAGTGCAGCAGACAAGAAGCTCAAGCTTTTCACTCTTAAGGTTCAGGTTTAATTTACACTGGAGCTACATCAGCGGAAAAAAATCTTGTAGACTTGCTCACAATGACTCAAAATGCAGTTTTATTAGCATCCGGGTTTTATTCAATTTGGAAGATAACACTGGGACTACTGATTTGCAGTGAATGAATGTGTAAAAATCCATGATTTCTGCATAATGCGCCAAGATATTTTCATTCAGGCTTTTTGGAATGAAGATTGACAGCCCTTCTATTATTTTCTGAAAATTTCAAGTAATGATTTTCACTAGATTTCATTGTTTACCTATACAATTCATTTTTAAAACCTTGATGATTCCACACTGAGTCCTTAGCAAGTCAGAATCCATGATGTATTGACTGGAGATGATACATGGTCGATAGCAGTACCAAGAAGAGCATGTGGGGATCCTGGAGTTTGTCAATACAGGGGAGAGTTACCAGAATCAAAGACCAAAATGACTTTCGATGAAATTAAGTTAGGGCATACAAGTATGATGAATTTCTATTCTCTGTCAGCAGTGAGGAGACCAGGACAGGATGGGTATCACAACCGTAGAAGGCAAAGCCCAGGACTCCTCAAATATTGAATTCAGTCCTTCTTGAAATGTGTGGATGTATGTCTCTCACATAAATTAGGACTCTAAGATAACAAAATATAAGTTCTGTCAATCATAGTTTTGCTTTTTGCCTGAGAACTTAAAATTAATTTGTTTAATTTGAGGAGAAACTCAAAAGTGAACAAAGATAGACTGACAGTTTGTTGCTCTCTTCCCTTATCGTGTTTAGTTGAAAATCTAATCGAATTCATTGTCTATTTTATATTCAAATCATTTTGCTAGTGTTGGCGTTGTACAAATTAACCTGAAGAACGTTTTTGAGTTTTATCATCAATCTTAAAATATTTTTGAAAGCAATAAGCAGACAGATGAAGAAAAACTATAGAACTGTTGGAGTGACAAATCCTACTTTTCAAGCTTGGAAATGGAGAATTACAAACATGCTTTAGATGCAGGAATTGTTTTAAGCTTGCAGTAAAAAACTCTTACAAAATCAGCAGTCATAGAATTGTTACAACCAAAGAAGGTGGCCATGTGATCTGTTAAGTCTACAACAGCAAATCAACACTGCAAACATTCTATTTCAGCTGCTTATCCAATTCCCTTTTGGAAAGTATTATTCAATCTGCTGCCACCATCCCTTCAGGCAGTACACTGCGGATCCCAATCACATAATTTTGAACATTATCAAAACTCCTCTCAACCTTCCCCAAAAAGAGCTACAGCTTCTCCAATCTATTCAAGAAAGGAACCATTCTAAATGTTTTGCTCTACTCTCTTAATCATTCACATTCTTCCTAAAATGTTGTTCTCCGCATTGAACACAATACCCCAACTAACATTGTGGCATTGTTTTATAGACATTCGCAACTGGTTTCTTAATGCCTCTTCTAACAAAGCCCATATCATTTCCTCAACCCATCTGTGCCCTAAGTTTATACAAGTTGAAGAAACAAATGATTTATATGGGTGCCTATTATGTAAACGTTCTGATTTGCTTTATTTAGAAAAACAAATGAGCAATGCAAAATTCTTTTCCGGAAGTGGAAAAAGGAGATGGAAAAGAAGTGACAGTTTCAATCTAATTCAATAATGGCCTTACATAAAGATATTTGCAAAAACAAGATCATTTAATAAACAGCATGGCCATTAAATCAAATTGGTAACCACACACCAAATATTTTCAAAGTAAGGAAACAGAAAACTGAATATACCAAGCTTCACAGCTTTTCATTTTCCGACAAAGCAAATACTTGTAGGTAGAATGACAGAAGACATGAGCACACAGGGATTCAATCCTGGTAGAAAAGCACACCAGGAGCAGCACCAGACAAACCTATAAGTGATGTGTAAACCTGCGTATATACTACATTGGAGTGGCAGCAAGCAATCCCGCATTAAACAGATCAAATTAAAGTTCTGCAGTTCTGCCACTTCCAGTTGTAATAGCGGTGGACAATGTAGTAACCGAAAGAGGAGGTAGCTACACAAGTAGCCCGATATCCAATAATGAGGAGTCCAGCGCTTCACCACAAGAGACAAGGCTGAAATATTTACAAATATCTTCAGTCAGAAAACTCAACTGAAGTCTCAAACATCACAAATGTCTGTGTTCAGATGATGTGATTCACTCCATAAGGTATCAGGAGCAAAACCAAACACATCAGATACTGCAAAAGTTCTGGATCCTGACAATATTCCAGTTCATGTACTGAAGTTTTTACTCCAGAACTAGCCATGGTCATAGCCAATCCAGAACAGCTACAACACAAGCAATTACCCAATGTGGTAAAACAGGACAAGTGTAACCAATCACTGCCGCATCATCTTAACCATCAGGAAAGTTACAGAAAATGCCTTTGACAGGGTTATGAAGTTGTACTAAATTCAGCAAAATCCTACTCCCTGCTATTCAGTTTGGGTTCTGCTAGGGGAAATCAGCTCTATAACTCACTATCCCTTTGGTCTAAAAATGTTCAAGCAAGCTGAATTCTAGAGGTGAGGTGACAATGACTACCCTTAATCACCTCCAACAAAAGAAAGCCATCACCCCATGATGTTCAACGGTGTTACCATTAATATCCTCAACTAGTGAACTGGATCAACCATATAAATATGGTGTTTACAAGAGCAGTTCAAAAGTTAGGAATTCCATACCAAATACGTAGCTCACAATTCCTCAAAACCCATGCACTGTGAAAATGACAAGACAGGACTACAATAAAATTGTTTGCTTGTTGCTCTAACAGCACTCAAGCTCAACATCTGCCTGATCAGCTTCCCACCCAGCAGCTTAAAACATTCTCTCCCTTCACTACTGGTGCACAGCAGCAACATGTGTCACATTCAATGTGCACAACAGAATTTCACCAAGACACCTACCACCCTGAAGAGCAAAGGATAGCCAACCACCACCTACAAATTCCTTCTAAAGCTACACACCCCTGAATTAAAACTGTAGTGGCATTCTTTCATTGTTAGACAAATCTGGAACTCACTTTATAAAGAACATCTCCTGTGCTTGCACGCAGAAGTGCAGTCAGAAAAGAAGAATATAGAGGAAACGATGCTTTGAAATGCTGCAAGGGGAGGAGAGACTGTCAGTGGCACCAATCCAGTGGTGGCAGAAATAACAGAGAATGGTCTCAGAATCATCGAATCCCTACAGTGTGGAAACAGGCCCTTCGACCCAACAAGTACACACCGACCCTCGGAGCATCTCACCCAGACGCATCCCTTTAGAACCCACCTGATCTACACATCCCTGAACACTAGTCAATTTAGCATGGCC